AAAAAAAAAACAGGAAAATAAAACCAAAAAAATATTTATTTCGTGTGCACTGTAATTTTACATTGAAGCAGTTGTGTCTAAAAATGGTGGAACAGGTTAATAACAGTGGAGAAGGTACATTATTGTTTTTGTTTCTTTTGACTCTGTTTTGAAACTTCTAAATTGTTATCTGTGTCAAGTTGAAGACCAAAAAAGAAAGAGTTTAAGGGACTGAAATCGATGAAAAGGAAAGACGAACGTGAAGAGTAAAAGAAAAAGTGAAAGTTGGGCAAACAAAGATTGAACGGCAAATTCAAAACAGAAAAAGGGGGACAAAAAATCAGAATTATCCAATAAATCCAATTTTTTACTTCCACATTTTTTTATTTGTTTTTTCCTTTTCACCATAAGCAACTCACTGCTTAAGTCTCTTACTGATATCTGTGCTCATAAACAGAACAATCATTTCAGATGTATATATATGTATATATAAATGAGCAATTGTGTATATTGCAAAATAAATGAAGATATTTCCAACAGTGCTAAATATACTCAGACATAATATTTATATCAAAAAAAATTTCTTCCTCATCCGGCTTCATCGTCATTTGTCCTTTAAAATCAGTGAACCATTACACTGGCTCAGCGGTTAAGTATTGCCGCGCGGCAATACGGCATCAACCATACATCAATTCAAGGTATATTTATGACAGTATCGCTCTGAAGGCTCTGGCCTGGCAGTCACTCAGAGCCATCGCAAGTGAGTGGCAAATTGGACGATTTTCTGGGGTATACGCAGCTGCGACTATTATCATACGGATGAATCCTTTTTTCCTTGATATATCTGCGTATAAAGTTAGTGATTATGATGACGATGGTAATGCTGGTGCTGATTTCGGCGTAAATATCGACTTAAATTTAGTGTTCAATGTTTGTTAGCATCAATCACAAGTACTTTTCTTGTTCATATCTTCAGTGTTCGGTCTGTATCCATCCATGCATATTGAATTTTCTTCGTAAACGTCCAGTTAAGCAATTGTTCATAATGGGACCAATGTTCTGTTGTAGTTGTTGCTGTGAGAATCTGCGGAAGAAAAGAAAAAAAGGTTGACTGTGGTTAGCCATTGATTTAAAAGCTGCTAGTTTTTAGCTGGACATATGCCAGTGAGTTGTTTATTGACTGATATTTATTATTTGCTGGTTGCTTGTATCTGTCTATATATCTATATGTATATATAGTCATCGGGTGCTTTTTTTTTATGTAAAGGAGGCTACTGGACAGATTCTTCGTCTTATTTTTTTACTTTTACAACTGTAATCAATTCATTTTCTTACTGTTATTGCCTTTTTTTTTCTTCTTCTTCTTCTTAATTTGCCCATATTTTTAGTTTTGGTCTTAAAAATTTCACTTGTTATTTTATTTTATTTGGTGATTTCGAAGCAACCAAATGTGACAAATAATTCTGTAAAAACGGCAACAAATGAGCTATACGGGTACAACGATGAAAAATAGACAGTTTTTAGGATGCTGTTTATTGTTGTAGTGA